ATAGAAGGCTGGTGATCAGGATTTTTATATGGAAAATGGTTTTCATCAAAAATGACATGACGGGATTTATGAACTTTATATGTTGCAAGATCAAGACATTTATATTCATGATGGTCCAAGCTATAACCAATAAAAACACATTTTTTTGCTTTAAAATCGATTTTGTGTTTGTTATATAGTCGAAGATAAGGCCAGTATACACAACCAAAATTTTTAAAGAAATGATAATTAGGAGTATGACGATAAACAATTACATACGGAGATTTTTTATTGAGAATAGAAGTAGGGAGACGATTGATAATATAAGTGGTTGTGAGAAAAACATCTTCCCAAAATTATTGTGGAAGTTTAGAATGCAAAAGTAATGAAAGACCAACTTCAACAATTTGTTTATAACAATGTTCAACTTCACCCATTTGTTGATGAGTGTATAGACATGCTCTACAATGATAAATGCCAATTTGAGTCAGAAGTGTAGACATGCGGTGATATTTTCCTCCCTAATCAAATTGAATATTTTTATGGTATAATTAAATTGTCGTTCAACAGAAGTTTTGAAGATCAACAAGACTTTCTCATTATCATATTTGAGTTTAAAAGGAAACAACTATATGAATTTAGTATAATCATTGAGTTTAAAAGGAAACAATCATATGAATTTAGTGCAATCATCTAAAAAATATAAATAATATCGAGCACCACTATGTGACAAGATGAGTGTTGATCCCCAAACATTAGTATGCATTATGTCTAAGGATTAATAGATTTATAATTGCTGGTTTTGAAAAACAATTGACTGCTTCTAGCTAGTTGACAATCTCAACAAACTGGAAGTCTTTTATTTACAACAGGTAATGTAAATGTAGAAATAGATTTTTAAAGAACTGGAAAGGATGCATGACCAAGCTTGTTGTGCCATATTTGGTAAGAAAATCATATTTTGGTGAGTGCATGAGGGAATGTGTCTGACAAGCTGGAGAATGAATACAGACCAACTTTAAAGGTGCCATAATGAAGGATTTTCCCCGAGTAGTCCTTAATGAGAAAAAAACAATCATGAAATTCAGAAAAACACAAGATTATCACTACAAAACTATTGAATAGAAATTAGATTATTTTTTTTAAATTTTAGGGACAAGAAGTAATTGTTTGAGCAATGTTTTTTAGGAAGTTAAAATAGAAGAACCAATTTGAGAAATTTGCAAACTTGCACCATTGCCAACAAAGACTTGATTTGAACTAGTATAGTTTTCACTCCGTAGATTCAAGTTGTCCATGTTATTGGTGAGATGATGTGTAGCACTTGTATCAGGATGCCAATCAGTTGCAGAAGCAGCACTTGTTATAACTATCAGACTATGCAAATTATTGGATTTGGCAACATTATCATGATAGGTAATGTCAAACCGATGATAGCTTTTTTTTGCAGAATGACCAGGTTTATCATAGACCTGACATATCATAGTATTTCTATGAAATATTTTCCTGCCATTGGAGCTATTATAGAAGGAGACTTCTTTGTAATTCCAGCCTCTGTATGGATTTTGTCCTTTGTAGGAAGAAGAAGGGGGTTGAAGAGTAGCATCGTGAACAATGGGCTAGATAATTGGTGTATTATGGTGCAGCAGACGTGACTTTGTGGTGAGTAAGAGAGCATATACTTCCTCTAAAGTAACAGGATCTATGCGGGCTATAATAGTAGTAACAAAGGAGTCATAATCGTGGTTAAGACCTGATAGTAGATAGGAGATGATTTCATCACATTGAAGAGCATGGCCAGCAACAACAAGCTCATCTTTCATGCGCTTGATCTACATAAAAAAAATCATGTGCTGATTGTGCACATTTGCGAGTGTTAACAAGTTTAGTGTGGAGTTGAATAACTCGAGCACGTGATTGAGAGGAAAAGAATTTGGGTAGAGCACACTAAATGGCAGTAAAGTTGGTATAAGAAACCATTTGAATAAGGATGTTTTCTGAAATTGTTGAGAATAGAATAGCAACTATAATGGCATCTTGTCGTTGCCAGCATTCATAAAGAGGGTTGAAGGTGATAAAGGAGGTTTCAGCCATGAAAACTTCTTTGGGTGGGATGAGAATGGTTCCATCAAGGCATCAAAAGAGACGTTGCCCACGAAAGAAAGGGATTAATTGAGCTTTCCAGATGATAGTTATCTTTTGAGAGTTTTGTAACATTTATGGCTGGAGAAAAAACAAGTGGAGGATTACTATTAGTAGCAGCATCTGAGATGTTTAGTGAAAAAGAAGTCATTTGTATGACGTGAGTCAATGACTCTGATACCATATAAGATAAAAGAATTACAAATATATATTAAAACAATACTATTACATCATGTTCTTATATATATTACGATCCCTGATTTGAAAATCTTATCATAAAAAATACAATGAATGATAAGATATACATTTAATTTCTAGAATATTTATTGCAAATATGATCATAATTATTTTTAGTATTAGTAATTATTTGTGCAGATATTATTAAAAATTATTATTATTTTTAGTATCAGTAATTTAATATTAAATATCCTTGATTATGTTTTTCTTTAATATCAATGTTATTTATAATAAATTTGATAATATCTTCAGTACTCCAGTCAGACTAGTTGCCTGGCATTCTCAGCAGTTGCAGCTGTTAAAGGCATAAATCAGATTGTCACAGGGAATTTAAAGCAACAGCTGATCGATCGCGCCATGAATATCAGTAATGGCTGCAACGGAGGAGGCAACATATTTGATCATGCCTTTGAGTTCATGCTCTACAACGGACTCCACAGGGATGAAGACTACCTACCCATATCGCATGGAAGAAGGCACTTGCGATGAAAATCTTTTACTTAACATGAATTGCATTTCCATTGCTGTATGTATACAATGGAATGATGGATCGATTATGTCTAAAACTTCTTTGTTCGTTGTCTTGAGGAAGAAATGGAGGTAGTAACTAGCTATTAGTGGTTAGTACCGTCATGTGCAGAAAAAAGAAGAACAAAACCTCTTGAAGATGGAGGCACTAGCTCACCAGCCTCTCAGTGCATCATCATCTATTGAGTCTTCTGCTAGGGATTTAAAGTTCTATTAGGGGGGGTAAGAATATTGAGAATTCTTTCACGTCTGTAAGAAGCCGTCTTTGAGGTGGGCTTTCGATGTTCGCGGGGACCGTGTGGTGGAGTACATCTAAAGCCGTAGAAGACCGGAGGAGGAGTTATTAATAATTGGCTCCGAAGAAATTAGTGCAAGCAAGAATCAGCATCTTTAACCCACAGCTTCATTGTGCTTGAAAACAAAATCGGAAAGCCGTCCCTGATCTTTCAACATTTTCAGAAGAAGCAAAAAATTGGACACAGACATTACAATATTCTCATTTGATACTGAAAAAAAAATTGAGAATGCTGAGAGACTGATTTGAAAATTATTGCAAATACTTCACAAGGAAGTAGCACTTGAAAACCAAAGCTATATATAACACCCCCACCCCCTCCCTAATCTTCACCCATCTCTTCTTCTCAGTTCTCGTCTCTCATTTTACTACCATATTTCTCTATCTCAATGGATCTCTCAGTTTCAAAGATTTATCTTCTCACCTCACCTTGTTGGCGTCGCTTTTTGGATGTTCGGTTCTAGCCCGTGATTTTTCAACTGTGGGTTACTCACCAGAACACTTGACTTCTGTTTATAAACTTGTTGAGCTATTTGAATTATGGGTTTCTATCTAGACATGGAAAGGCTTACAATAGTCTCGATGAGAAGCTGCATGGGTTTGAGGTGTTCAAAGACAACTTGAAGCACCTTGACCAAAGAAACAAGGAGATCACTAGCAACTGGCTGGGGCTGAAGGAGCTTGCAGACCTGAGCCATGGGAGTTCAAGATCAAGTACTTTGGATTGTATCCTGAGTTTCCTAGGAAGAAAAGCTCTTAAGACTTCAGTTACAGAGATGTTGTGGACTTGCCCAAATCTGTTGACTGGAGAGAGTATGGACCCGTTACTCCTGTGAAGAACCCAGGTTCCTGTGACAGTTTCTGGGCATTCTCAACAGTTGCAGCTCTTGAAAGCATAAACCAGATTGTCACAGGAAATCTAACTTCTTTGTCTGAGCAGCAGCTGGTCGAGTGCGACACAAGTTTTAATAATGGCTCCAATGGAGGCCTCATGGATTATGCTTTGGAGTTCATAGTCAGCAATGGTGGCCTCCGCAAAGAGGAAGACTACCCATATCTCATGGAGGAAGGCACTTGTGACGTAAAGAAAGTAGATGCTGATGAGTAACTAATAATGCATTCAATTGTTGAATACAACGGATAGAACTTGTTTAATACCTATTTGTCTGTTATCTTCAGGAAGAAATGGAGGTGGTAACTATCACTGGTTACCATGGTTTGCCACAAGATGACGAGCAAAGCCTCTTAAAGGCACCAGCTCACCAGCCTCTCAGTGTTGCTTTTGAGGCTTCTGGTAGAGACTTCCAATTCCATAGTGGGGTAAGAATGTTGAATATGCTCTTGCATCTATAACATACCTGCTCTCTATCACTTCCCAACTTGGAGAAGCATTAGACGGGGGCTCATTATGTGTGGCTTTTGGTTTTTGCAGGGGGTGTTCAGCGGATCTTGTGGAGCAAGTCTGGGTCATGGCTTCATAAGGGTGGAGAGAAACACAGGCAAACCTGAAGGGCTATGTGGGATCAACAAAATGGCTTCATATCCCACTAAAGAGAAGTGACATCAATATGCTTTCGTGTTTTTCTGTTCTTTCTGGCAGTTGATTGATTGGTGAAATTGGTTTACGTTACCCTTGTCCATCCATAAAATGAGATGAAAGTTCATATAGAAACAATTCCTTATAATAATCAGCGTCTTGCACATGTCACAGAGTTGGTAAACACAGAAGAAACCAAGACTACCATGACTGTGCAACAGAAACTCTCATACAAAAGATACCACACCTCACATCCATTTATAGCAAAATGATAAAAAAAAATGCATGTAATCAGTTTTGTGCTTCTTTATTGATTTAAAAAACTGAATTCTATGGTTCATCTACATGTTCCAGGCGATGAGGCCTAAAATAAATGTATATTGAACGGTTGCCTCGGAATAAATTGGGTTAGTAGTACAGACAAGAATCAAAATTTTAACCCACAACTTCATTGTACTTGAAAACACAATCGTAAAGCCGTCCCCCGAGGAACTGAGCAACCTCTGGATGTTTCACCTGTTTAAAAAGAAAACAAAAATTGGTTACAAGTTTGGCAAGACTATATAAAACAACGGACATGAATTGAAATCCTAAAAAATAAACAAATACAATTCACATCATTACCATCCCAATCTTAAGAGAGTCGCATTTAAACTGAGCATAAAGATTTGTCTCTATCCCACGGCCCTGCCAAAAGCAGTAAAGGTTACAGGTGCACACATTGGAGAGACATGCATTTCTTCAAACTATTGAATTCACTTATAACAATGAATTAGAATATGCTAGCCCAGCTCCTTAATGCGGCTATCTTTTCTTTCCATTGTTCTTGGTCAGTCAAAAGATCCAACAACACTCGAAACATGTCCAGCCTTTGTCATTCCTAGACTAGAAACAACAATCAAACTCCATCTTTATCCATTTTTAGCACAATATTTTTTTTTTCTTTTTGACCTAGAACAATCAATGAAAGCCAGATATGCATAAAAATAAAGTCACTATACCTAATCATACATCTATATCCAGTTGGCCATTTGCAATTGTTTCTTTAAACACAAACTTTATTTTAGAAAGAACTTACCATTCCTTCCAATACTACTAGGTCTGCATCACTTGCTAGATAGGCTAGCACTTGGGATACTCTTGTAAGATCAATAACCTGCAAGGAATGGAAAAGTAAAAGGGCTATTACTATACAGCCAAGAGTGCCCTTCAGAAAAAGACAGACAACCATTCAACATGAAATACAAGTAAATACTCTAACACTTTAATTCTGACCGGCAAATCATTTCCAGAATTGGCTATCAAAAGATTTGACGTGTTGACACCCATAAGCTGTCCATTTTCATCCTTCAACTGGAAAAACAGATCTTAATTTAGAGACAGCAAGAATCAAGCAGTATCATAGTTCTACAAGTTCTTTCTATCACCTTTGCTATAATCTCTATCAGTTCAGTGTAAGTGACGTCATTGATAGAAGGCATGTCATTGGCAGCCAACACAACCTGGGATAGAGAGAGCCCAAATATGCTCAGGAAGAAAGCATTTAAACAGTAGTTATTATAGCATCTTGTATAAATGCTTTAAAACTGAAAAAAAAAAAAGGTATTTCCCGGACCCATCATGAAATTTGTGCACAACTTAATTAAATGAAAAGCACCTCAACTTTGATGACCAGTATAGAAATATGAAAAGAAGAGTGCTCAAAACCACAGGATCAGTATCAAAATCAAAATACTATTGGTCAGTGTTTCTTACATATTGAATACCGACAGTGTACTGACAAACTAGTTATCAAGCTAAATTGACGCCTTCAATTGATTCTTTACAAAGTGAAAGTGAACAACCTGACTTCATATTTGAAGCAAACTTTTAGGCTTGTGATATAAAAAATAAATGTGTCACAGATTGTAATTCAAATGTAAATGAAAACCTGAGTTCCATGCCGCAGTAGCTCTCTTGCAAAGGGCAAAATACCCAAAATTATATCTGCACCAGAATTATCAACAAAGATGACAACCTGTCATGAACAACGAGGAAGCTGGTAAGATTTTTTTTTTCTTTTTTCCTAGTACAAATGGAATCATCAACATCTTTTACAGATGTACTTGTAATTCATTAACAGGAATTAAACCTCATGTAAAAGAATTCATTCTTGTAATTCACCTTTTTCCATGATTTCTTGCTCCATTTCACTTTAAAGGCGTCCAAGTCATCAATGACCCAGGGTCGAGGGACCAGATTTTGACAACTAGCTAAAAAGGACATTCCATCCTTTGAGAAAACCTCTGCAAGCTGCATGAAGTGGGGAAAAAAAAAGGATAGACATCAATCAAGAAGTATTCAAATTGCACAACCAAAACAGAATCTATATCCTCAAGAGAAGAAATAAATTTAAGCAGCAACCACACAGTTATAGAAACAAAACAACTGCTTTTGCTAAAAGCTAGAGAGGGTGATAATTTGAAGAAATTCCCAAAAAGCAATGGCATCAATGATAAAACAAAAAAATGAAATATGGTTGAGTTACGAGCAGAAAACATTAATGCAACAGTAATCCAGAGGGTGATCTAAAATGAAGGGGTCATAGAAAAGGAATGCTGATGGTAAAGTTCAGGGAATGAAGGGAGAAGAGCAGGACCTCAAATAGAGAGAAAGCGAGTGATCAAAATAAATAACCCTAGAATCCATGTAGTTTGGATTCAAATTCCATTCACAAACAAGTTCATAACTTGTTAAAAGATTATCTTGAATAAACATTAACTAACCTCTGCAGAACCGAGGTCGAAGATATTCCCAGCAAAAATTCCTCTGACAAGATTTTCTAGACGCTTGGGCTCATCTTCAATAGCATCATTAAGCTGAACCACATCCTTAAAGAGTGATATAGCCTTTGCATTCTCTTCATCCTATTGCATCACCAAAAAGGGGTGCGCTTTTAAAGTGTATAGGCAAAAGACGATAATATTGCAAGGAAAAAAAGGTCCCCAACACACACACACACAAACATGGAAAAGAAAAAAATCTCAATCTTTCACCATTGACAGGCGCTATAATTAACACACGGTGAACGTTAATAGCAAAAAGATCGATTGCAAGGAGATACTTCATTTATAATTCAGCTTTATTGAAGGTAAAAAGACATGATTTGAGAGTGACTGACCTTGACTTTCTTGAATATGTCTATAAATCCCAACTCTCTAAGGATTATCTCCCGCAGTCTGCAAAGAAGCTACCAGGGACAGAGAGAAAACAATTGATAACTTAAAAAAAGGAGGGGGGGATGCGATGTGGATGTGGAGGAAGTGCAGGGAAGTTACAATGCAATCAGGAGGGCCACCATGGCTTTCCGGATCTTTCTTAAAGTCCTCCAGTACATCACCATATCTATTTTAAAAAAAAAAGCTCACATCATTAAACAATAAATAAATAAAGTGGAATAGATACATAAATAACTAGAAGAAATAGTGCCAAAAAAGGGTACCTCTGAGCAAATTTTTCAGCTCTGACAGGGGCATCAGGAACAGTAGGATCAATTTCAGCACGCTTCCTTCACCCAAAAAACAAAATATTGAGTGAAAAACAAAGAATAAAAGTAATAATATATATATATATATATATATATATAGAGAGAGAGAGAGAGAGAGAGAGATTGAATAGAAAAGAATTACTTGAAGGAGGGAATGGAATTGAGAAAGAGGTCAATCCATTGGAGCTCGGTAGGAGTTGGTTTCTTAGGATTGTCTGAGGGGAAGCGGTAAGGAATGGTGCAAGCTCTGTAATTGGATTCGATCGGCGTCAATAGCAACGGGAAGGGTACCAACTCCGATTCGCTCTCCATCGATTTTTCCCCTCTACTCAACCTGATGCTACAGTTGATATGCGTGCAAATATGTAATTGGATGATAGATAGGTGTGGGCGAAAGAGAGAAAGAAATCCCCTTTGGCCACTTGATAGAGAGCTTTCCTCTTTGTGCTCGAGAATGGTTAAACTAAACTCTTTACCCCAACGCTGCCAGGGCTTATAACGATGATTCGAATATTGTCGATACCTTAATTATAACTTTAAGAAAATTAGAAAAAGAGAAAAAGAAGAAGTACAGGGCACTCTTTGTAATTAAGAAAATTACTGCTAGAGATTAAAAGTTATCAATAATTTCACTAGTGGTCTTATCGGATTTATAATAATTAATTTATTTTGAAAACAAAATGCCTAAAACTGTAGTAATATTTGTTTTAAATCTTATAAACCCTCAGGATCGGATCCACCTGGTTCTTGTTTTTATCCATTTACTTGCAATTCTTAATATTTATTTATTATTTTGACCTGGAGATTATGGTCGATAAACAAGCGCATGCATCGAACACCATGGTCATGCGAAAATGGATGGTTTTTGCAAGTTATTCTATTGGTGTCCAAGTGAGCGAGTGGGATTTGCTCGTCGCATGTATTAATTTTACGTGTTTATCGTCGTTGATCCATCCTTGCATATTTTTCTGGTGGTAGCTAGGCTGATCACTGCCAAATATTGCAGAGGGTGGACGGAGGTCCGGTGATCTAGCTACCATCTCCCTGGACAAAAACACATGGATGCTCACAGCGACTACGATCATTGAAAAACCTAAGAGGTATCCTTCCAAACCCACAGTCCAAACACCATTAATTGTTGTCTCGTTATAGACCCACATACGTGTATATCCCGTTTTCCAGTACAGCTTCCTTCCATCAGCATATATTCTCACCTCCTTGATAAGACCATATATTCACAAGGCTTGTAATTAAGATGGGCTGTTTGCAAGCGTTGCTCTCATTAGACTTGTCGAAGGCCAACCTTCAATCTCCAAGACGCTGTGTGATATTTCAATTAATCTGGACTATATTCTGGCCAATGATAACCCCCTTGATTGGACTCTTCATTCCTTGCGCATCAAGCCTCGCCCAGCGAGTGAGCATAAAACCAATGAATCCTTTCCCCCCTCTCTCTAATATGATTAACTAAGAGCATGCCCAGAAAGAGGAAAATCACCACTCCATCTATATCTGTCCAGAAAGAAACCCAACCTGTTGCCATCCCCAACCACGCCCATCACGATTACTTATGCCTTTTCACGCTGGAGAGGCCGATGATTGAGAGTGGAAGTTTGCACCCCTTCATCATTTTCATTTTTGTAAAACGCGTGCATGGCATGATCTCAAAAATCGTCCGTTCAATTGAATAGGCAGGCAGCAGGACTCTTTTAAAAAAATAATAATAAATAAGGTCCTTCTCCTTTAACACTACTAGGCACATGGTGGTGGGATTTGTTCGCCAATGTACCTAGCTCCTCTAACATTTTTACATGATGAAGTGGCTTGTTTCTCCCCTGATGACAATTCTAAGTGAACATTCTCAAGGTATATGTTCTGGCACGGTATCCCCTTGCTACATTCTAGCGCTACTGCCACCGCAGATGATGAGGTCCCTCTTATCTGCTTGAAATATATATCACTTAGCTTCACCTTAGATGGTTCCTGCACAAGACCAACATATTTCATTATTTAAACATTGCTGCCTTCCACTTATGCCTCTAATCCTACGTACCAACACTTTCAAAGCTAGCCTCAAATAATGGAAACCATTGACTTACTGTGGAGATGCAAGAACTGAATGGGCAATATGACTGATCGATTATTATTGGATTGGTCACATTGTTCATCACAATGTTCTCAAATGTCATATTGGTTGCTGCGCTGCTACCTGGGGAGTTAGCCCATGTTTTTATCCTGATGCCATTCGTCGTTCCTGACATTGCACAATCTCTAACAACCAGTCCACTCACATCCCCTTCGTCCTCATATCTTCCCAAGCTTCCAACACTATTAGATCAAGGAACATTTACCCTATATATTAATCACCTCTAAGAAATTAAATAGGAGGTATATATACCACTTGAACTCGAAGAAAATTCAAGAGCACCTGATTCCATGACCAGGTCCACATTTGATTCTTGTGATGGTAACCTGAGAATTTCCTTGTCCAATAGAAATGCAGTCATCACCAGTACCAATAAGTGATTGAGAGATATAGACGCTAGAGCTTCGCTCCACATGGATACCGTCAGTGTTGGGGCTGTCTGCTGGTGCAGAAATCTTGATCTTAGTACCTTTGAAATTCTTGCATTCAACAAGAGCTATATGAAAGAACTTGCTATTCAGTGAAGTTATGCCTTGGACTACAGTCTGGTTCATTGCCACAAATTTTACGTTCTGAAAACACAAGGAAAATACGTACATATATTCCTATTAGATTTATTTCACCAAGCTAATATGCATTTTATGCCTTAACTCGATTCTCACAGCCTAGAGATAGAATCAGGAAGTGTGATAAAGGTTAGAACATACAGTTGGAAGAAGTTTACACTTTGAGTCATTGGTGCAGTTATAAGGCCAGGCTTTGGCACCTTGGCCATCAAAGGTTCCACCTCCAGTCAAAGTTAGCCTCTCCAGCCATCCAAATTCAACCCAACCAGTTCCAGATCCATACCTAGACAACTTTGCTGTAGCCTTTAAATAACCCTGAAAGTTCATTTCTAAGTTAGAACCATCAACCATGATTCAAGAGTTTAAAGATGATTGGGAACAGAAAGAATGAGAATAGGTTGTCCAGAAAGATGAGATCTTGCCTTCATGTAGACAGTAAGAGACGATACATTTTTGCAAGGGCCTGCAAATTTAACAGGGCCAATCAAGTACATTCCTTTTGGTATCAAAAGTTTAACCTTTCCTGTTGCTCCACACGCCTCCTTCCATGCTGCTATGAAGGCCTGGAATCACAAAATTAATTTGTATAATTCATTCTAAAAGGAGATAAAAAGCTAATTCTTTATCCTGCGCTACTCTCACAAGCTTAAGCAGGTAAAGTTGAGTTGTTAAAAAGCCAAGTCTGCCAAGTCAGGAATGAAAATTGAGGCAGGTGAGGAATTCCAAACTAGCAAAAGTTTCTTTGTTTAAAGTTTTGTAACTTGAGATCATATAAAGAAAACAAACCTTGCTGTCATCAGTTCTGCCATCAGCTCGAGCACCGAATCTCTTGACGTCAAAGAGGAGAGAGTTGTTTCCCTTGTGGTGCGAGATTGGTCTTCTTGCTTCAACTTCAAGGCCTTGTCCATCTGCACCTGTGAAAACAACAGCATTGAAACAAAAGAAGGACAACAACAGCAACAGCATCCAGATACCACTTCCAAGGCTCGCCATGTTATTGCTGTACATTGGTTATCCTTCTTGTGAGATTATGACTAATTAAGGAGGTTGGTTTCTTTTTGATTGATTAAAGGAAGGGTCGTTTTTTCAGCAGAAGAATTAAAGCAGGGTTTGAAATCGCAAGAAAGGGCGGGCTTTTGCTTTAGGGTTAAGACCCAATACAAAAACTGCCATTAACTTCCCTCCCCACTACATCACTGCTATTAACCGTCTCACTGCCACAGCCTTCCCAGACCTCTCGCTCTATTCATTTTGATTTTGATTTTCTTTATAAAAGAAAAAATACAAAACAAAATCAAATCTACCCTGACCTCAAAATCACGTTTTGATCATGCAAGCTGAAAAATCACGTTGGTGATTATACGTGCTAATTGCTTCCATGATTTCTCGTGACTCGGCCAGCTTCCTCAGATTCCAGTCCACTTTCTAAAAGATAATCACCTTAATTATTGGTCTTGACGTAAATCTGCACCCTGGATCATCAACAATTGCTACCAACTCGAGTGGGGAATTGAATATACATACGAACATGATTAATCAATGGGTTTGAATTTGGAACGAACACAACTCCTCCTCAATCAGCATGCCACTAAGACAAGAACACATCCATTATTATAGCCATGGTGATCCGTCTCCTTCTGTTCCTTTTACTTACATCATGAAAGCACCTTCATTGGTTATAATATGATCACTGCAATTACCAAGTAATTAAGGCACAATTTATCATTAGCTATCTGTAGGTATTCCATGTATTCAGAAAAACAACATGATGGTGACAACATTTCCAACAGAAGTAGACCAACAGCCGAACTCGGTGATGCTGCTAATGGTGATTGATAGTTTATAACAAGAACAGCATGTTAAGAGTCATACATCCATGGATAGTTCCATCTGCAGCAGACATTCATTTTAGAAACCTGGTGCTAATAGATTAATTAAGAGATGGTCCAGCAATTTTAGTTCAGCAGAGAAACCTGTAGCAACTCTTTACTTCCGGATTCCAATCAATCACATACTACCTTTGAATATTGAATTAAATCACATGCCTAGATGAAGCATTGTCACTACAAGTAGTACAGATATACATAATTAATGGATTTGAAAAGAACCAAATTCATTCCTCAGATAGCCAGCGAGCAAGGAAAGAATACTGCATATTAGAGTCACGATCTATGATGGGTCCTCTGCTTTCTTTCTTTTTTCTCATAAGGTAGCTAAGCTAGCAATATGAGGAGGAATTGATGAAGGCGAGGCCCTTGTTCACATATTTTCTTATATAAAGCCCCTCATTTCTTTGCCTTCGAGAATCTGAGGCATCGATACTTCTCGCCACTAACAGTGATTTCCAGAGCTCCATCTTGATTATCCTGGTTAGAGGCGGTTCCCATGAGAACACTTTTCTCTTTCTCGAGATTTTCTTTCTCCATCTTCAGCCTTGCTTCCTGGCGAGCAATCTCTGCCTGGGACGAGATGGACAGACAAAGAAATACAGAAACAGAATTTAGCAACAGAAGAGGAGCAGAGAGACAGACAGAAATTATAGTTACTACTTATTACAGGGTAGGATCTGTTCAATCAATATCATGCTACTAATTTAACTAGTAAGTTTGGGAATGGCAAATTCAATTGATCCCCTTTGTTGTTGTTGTTGTTGTTATTTATGACAGTGAGTATTACTTTGGTTGCATAATAACATTATTAGGAATCAATCAATCAATTAAAAAAAATTACAGAGAAGAAGAAGAAGAAAACCTCGCGGCGAGAGAGCTCAGCCTTCCAAGCAGCTTCACGCTCGGCGACTTCGCGTTCACGTTCTTGGATGTAACTCTGCATCTCTCTTTCTTTCATATTTCTGTCCTGTATATCTGCATCCAACGCTTCTTTCAGCTCCTGCACGAACTTGTCCACCACCGCCTTTATTCTCATTGACATCCTCCTCCTCCTCCTCCTCCTCTTCTAATTGGAACACCCCCCTCCCCTCTCCCTCTCTCTCTCTCTCTCTCTCTCTATATATATATATATATATATATATATATATATATGTGGATTCTTGGTTTTTTTTTGGTAACTAACGAATAATTAGAAAAAAGGAAGGAAGGAAGGAAGAAAGGAAGAAAGCAGAAGCAGCGATGAAGAAAAAGAAAAAGGAGAAAAGAAAGGGTATTGGAGGAGCAGAAAAATAAAATATTATTTAACTACCCCTCCAGAGTCCCGGGTCCCGAGTCCAGACGGACGGACCAAATCCCGTTTCAATTTCAGGCCTCTTATTTTCTTCCCTTCCCCCACCATTGCAAACGATACCGTTTCATCTATTTCACTTTTTCACTCTTTTGTCTCCTTCGGTCTTCTTCTCTTCTATTTAAACTAGAGAGTTACCTAAATACCACTACAAAAATAAAAATTCGAATTTGATTGTAAATATTTCTATTTAATTTCTTTTATAAGGTTTTAATAATTGAGAGAAAAAATAAGTAATTCTACTTCATTAGCTATATTGCTCTAAGAAATAATATTTTGATCAATAATTAAACTGAAAAATCACAACACGGTTCATTTAAACTATAGCTCCATAATATAGCAGATGCACATATATTTTGCAAATAAATCCATACTAGTTTATATATATATAGTCATGGGGTGAGATCAACTTTTTAAAAATATAACAAAAAATTTCTAATAAAAGAGAATTATTTAGCCATTATTAGCAAACCTAGTTCAATATGTTAATTTTAAAATTATAAACCTAATTTCTTATTTAGTTCAATTTTAAAATTAAAATTAAATTATGTAAAGTATTAATCTAAAAAACAACTAGTAAATTAAACTTAAATAAAATTAAAATTAAAATTAAAATTAAAATAGAATGAGAATAAAATTAAGAAAAAAAAACGCAGCCTTTTCATTCGAAAGTTTCAATTCTTAATCCTTTCGAATGCACACACGGTTTTTTTTTAAAAAAAAAATATATATGATTAAGAATTTACACAACCAAGAGAACAATCACGGCAATAGTTATAAATGCTCTATCTTTATATATATATAAAGAGAGAGAGAGAGAGAGATCTAGAATATAGAACATTCAGACTTCAATTTTTCGTTCCTTGAAAATTTATAAGATACTTGTATGCGCACCATTGATCCATCACTAATCAGATATAAAAATTTTGCAAGATCATGAACAAGTGACCGTTTTAGGCAGGTTCAAAGTGAAGAGGAATTGAGTAGGTATTTTACAAAGACCAAATTAAGTTCACTTCCGCCCATTTATTGATACATCACTGAGAATTTTGCTAATGCCAAATCTCACTGGGCTTCACTACAAGAAACTCATAGAACATGTATAGTGACGAGTGATGCTGCTCGCTTACAACTCTACATGAAGCCTCCGTTGCATGTATCTCAACACTCAACACAAGATGATGCTCACTAGCTCCCTCACAGCTCATCCCTTGTGCTTCCATTGCTTGTGTGCTCGATGTAAGATGCATAAGCTTTAATTATTTCCTCATAAATACGGATGCCCTTCAGGTATTCGTCTTGGTTCAGAAACTGCAACAATGTAGACATGATGATGGTTTAGTATGGATCATATGAATTCCAATTAAGTGCAATGATTCTGTCAAGAACACAGGTGCATGCACTCTCGCTCACACACAGACTGCCATGCAAATATTGTCAATGTGTATGAAAAAAATGCAGAAATTTAAATGGAAGCACTACACACAAAGATTGACAACATGCCCGAGAAAAACAGCCTTTGATTATTAGCCTGAAAAGGGAAGCATTGAGTTAAACATTTACCTCATTGTGGTCATGCAGTAGTATAGGTGTGTTCGCCATCGGAGAGAAGCCAATTGCTGGCAGGCCTAGTTGCCGAAAGTAGCGTGCGTCAGTTGACGCAGGAAAGATCTCTGGCTTACCAAGTTTTCCATTAGCTTTTCTGACAGCTTCCTCAAGCAGGCTCCACCATGGATTAGAACTGTCAGTCTTCGTAACTACTGGCCTCCCAGACTTATCATGTATTGAAACTTGCTGCTTAAACTGCCAAAGCAACAACCACAATTAGAACTGGAATTGAAAATGAAAAGGGGGGCACTTAAAAAAGTTGTTATTAATTGTGTGTTAGCATGCCATGATCAAAAAGAGCAGTTTTTTTTCCAACGAGTAATCAAATCACAAACATTCCTCCAGATCATATGTTTCTTTGATTTGCTGTACCTGTATCACAAGTATGTACATATTCTTGTAACTTAATTTTAACCCTATTTACTTTAATCTAATTTTTAAGGAGATTAAAATTACAGATTAAGAGATCAAGGATTAATTTTGATTAGAAGTATGATTTGTCAACTTGTAAAAAGATTAGAGAATAAATGTGTTTTTGCTGTTTTTTAGCTCTTTTTCTCCTGGTCTTCCATTTAAAAAGACCATCAAAATATTTCCAGTTGACCCTTTCAATACCTATTATAAACAAATCATTAATAATATAGTACAACAGTCTATAACGATTTAAAATAAAACTAGTAATGCAGTTTAACTAAGATATGATGTTTTAGCGATGATAGTATCTTCTATCTAGCATAATCAGTCTCTTGTCATAGAATCTCTAAAAATCAGTTAGAATTTCTAGTGACTTTAATATTAAATAGCAACTTCATAAATAAAATTTTTTTCCTCAAAAAATATAACACTATATATTTATTTTATTTTTTCTTTTAAAAAGATCACCGTGATATCAAATGCCACAAGTATAATTTAAACTTGTATTAGTTAAAAAAAGGTCTCTTTTAAGCCTATAATACCAAAATTCTCTTATCAGAATATGTATCTCCTGCCTCATTCACAGCGTAGGTCAAAATATTTACAGCAGGATTCATGTGATGTCCTTTCAAGGATCTTACTACTTGACATCCTAGCAAGATAAGGCCATCGGTCGGTGCTAGCTTTACCAAGACAGGGCCCTGAATAGGGCATATGAAAGAGTTATAAAGTCAAATCACATTTCCTAAGCTACATGATCAAGATGCAACAATCTTTTTCCTTCCCATTCCTTCCAAGTTTATTAATGCCCAAGTGTGGAGATTTTATAAATGCAAACCATCATGGCAAAAGATACCCTTTTATATCAGATAACAATATAAATTATATCTTACAATTTCACCTAATAATTTAAACTATTAAATTAAGATAGTTTTTTAACACCAACTAAACAATTCTAGTTTTTATGTTTAAGGGTGTTGGTGTTGGTGGTGTCCTGTAATTGATATTAGTGTTTGGGTTTGTTGTTTCTTTCTCTTATTAATTTTTTTTTTTTTCAAGTTAAAAATCTTTTCTTTTCCCTAGTAATTGAAGGGGATTTTGCAATTGCTTTTTGTTTATCATAAGTTGAAATCTTATCATTTTTATTTTATTTGAGCATAAAATAATACAAGTTTACGGTAATTTTAAGTTTAAATGACTTCCATTTAAAAAAATATATTAAAAAATAATATAACAACTTAAATTATTTATTTGGAATAATTCTTTAGACTTTAGGCTTCATAGCAAATGAGAAAACTTCTATTTTGAATGACAAGTACTGATTATAGCGTGAAGGGAAAAAAAAACTAACAAAGGACACCAGCATAATAATCACCTTTCCCTCTTTTAATCCAAGAATATCATTGGTTACCAGATAAAAGCAAGGCAACTGTGATTTTCACGTTTTATTCAGATACAGCTAGGAAAAAAACATACGAGTCTCAAGACTCCCAACAACGCATCAGTACCTGGAATGTCATATTACGTGAAACAGGAGCCCACTCTTCTGCAATTCGTCTCTCCAAAGATTCTGGATCTGCAGTTGGTGGGACTCGAATATCAAAACCTGCTTCTGCTTCAGATGGCTGCAAATTCATGACAAATCCCTGGAAGAAAAGGAAGCAGATCGGTCTATGTAATCAACAACACGTAAGTTTGTAAACTCGCAATGCTCTCATCTTTGATAAGACATAAAGATACTGCATTTTCAAAAAATCACCCAATCAACAAATTGTTTGAAACAGAGATTTTATTGGTTTTGAAACAAGATGTTTATTTGACAAAGCTTGTTACTTTTGGCCTGAGACATTCATGTGAAGTGCAAGAACAAATCCCTGCTTTGGGCCCCATGTTTATGTGTTGGAGCATTCTTGCAACACCTACAGCCTACCGATACTAGACAAGGACTGTCTCAACTCGACAAGTTAAAATTTATACCAACTTACAGTAGGAGAAGGAGTGCCAGCCTTAAGAAAGACCATGTTGACAGATATGACCTCTCCTTCAGCTTTCAAGCCAGCCTTCACCAAATCAAACTGAGAAGCTCTAAACCTCCTCACACTCTCAATACTTTTCAAAAGATTCTCCATAGCACTATTATCATACAATTTAGCTCCATGTCCTGGTGCCCCAGTAGCCTTAATCACCATCCACCAAGGACACCTCTCCGCATAAAACGTCCTGTAATGCTCGCTCGGTGATGCCAACCCTGTAATTTCCAAATCAAAATACTTGCAACTAATAATAAAAAAAGAAAAGAAAAGAAAATTATTTACAAAAAGAAGGACTAGCAGTAGTGGCATATTTTACCTTCATCAAGTACTATGCCAACATTCATACTTTTAAAGATCTCAGAGTCAGCAAACTTCGCAGCGCCATCATGGCCACCGATTTCTTCATCAGGGACAAAGGATAAGTAAACAGAACGAAGTGGGACAAACCCAGACGACTTCAAGCGACGAATAGCTTCCAAGTACTGCATGCCAACGCACTTCATGTCCTGAGACCCTCTAGCAAAGATATTACCATCAGAATCAACATGGGCGCCAAAAGGATGATGAGCCCACTTGTGGTTTTCTACTGGGACGACATCTGTGTGTGAGTTGAGAAGGATCGAAGGGAGAGTCGGGTCAGATCCAGGCCACTTGAGGAGGATGAGTGGCTTGTTTTGGACAAATTCGATAGATTGGGATTCGAGGCCGATGAATTTGGCTTGGGAGACGAGAAATTCAGCCGACTGTTGGTATTGAGGGGTGGGTTGTGCAGTGTTGATCTGAAGGTATTGTTGGAATCTTGATATGATTGCTGCATCTTCGGCTTCCGCTTCCGATGGATGATTTATAAGGATTAGTAGAAGCACGGAGAAGAGGAGGAGAGGGAGGAGGAGACGATGGTTTTTGAAGGGTGTCTCCATTTTAACCTCTGTCACACTTTGCTGATAAACTAAGCAGTCAAGAAATTTACTCCAACCACTCACGGGCAGAGGCAGTCCAAGACCATGACTGTTCGGCTCCATATTATAATATTATGGGAACTTGGGAAGGAATGCCCGGAAGACGACACGAGGTATGTGCATGTCGCAATCGCAAGATAATCTCTACGGTCGTTGGGCTGACCTTTTCTTACCGGGCAGCAGTTCCTTAAGCAAGTCTCGAGTGTAATTATATAACATAGGAGCCGTAATAATAATAAGAAGACGACGATTAAGAAATTAACAGGAGTGTTGTTGTAATTTTTTTTAAGTATTTTTTGTTTTAAAATATATTAAGATAATATTTGTTTAATTTTAAAAAATTATTTTTAATATTAAGATATTAAAATAATTTAAAAATATTAAACAAAAGTAAAAAAATATAAAAATATTTAAAATTTTTAAAACACAAAAATAAACAAAGTTTTGAATAGTTTTGGTAGAATTAAAATCACAGAAAACACAATCAAGTAAAAACCAAAAAGAAGAAAATTATAGTTTTTCATTTTGGTTTGGTTTGGTTTGGGATTTAGGACTTCAAATGGTATTGAGACATTGTAAAGAATTAAAATCATGGAAAACACAATCAAGTAAAAAAGAAGAAAGAAAATTATGGTTTTTCATTCTGGTACAAACATCTCATCATAATTATTTCGAATTAAAAGCAAGGGCTATTACCCAAACAAGAAGAGGCGAGGCAAGTTTACTATTTTTAGCGCATGAAACAATAGTATCACACACACACCCACACACACAACATAACTGAACGGATTGACTAAAACACTCGAGAAATTAAAGCAAATATAATGAATACAGATTTGAGATTTGATAAAAAAAGAAAAAAGAATTCAAGGAGTCGGCTGTCATGTGAGATGCCGCCCCTTCAGCACACCAAATTCCTCGAAAATGGTAAATTAAGGTCGTAAGAGGAAGGAAAAGAAAGGGTCCAGATTGCATGCCCAAACCCAATTTGTCTTTCACCCACACCGTTTCCTCCTCCCCTCTCCTTTCCTGACACCAATTAACACGCCGGTGGCTCACATCCTTCGTCTCCCTTTCCTTTCCCAGTAATTGTAGTGTATTACAAACTAGGTTAGAGTAATCATATTAAAACTCAAACACAGAGCCAGAGGAAGAGAGCCTCCCTTTCAAATACCACCATACAAGACCTCAACAACTGAAAAATCCCTGCTTTCAAGCCTTTCACTTCTTAACCACCAGAGGAGACTCCCTCTAAACACTAATCTGCTCCCTCCCCAAAATCGCAAGCGAATCTCTCTATCTATATTCAAACAAAAAACAGAGCAATAAAAAGCAAAGCAGCAGTGCCCCCCCTCTCCCCGATGGAGGAGTGCATGAGAAAGCTAGCTCTATGGCACACGCGAACGTTCAATCCCGTTATGACTCACCAAGAGCTTGAGCCCATCATGATCAACATGGGCTTCGTGGGCCTCCCCCCTTCCTCCCCCTCCGCGTCTTCCTCGTGGAAGGTGTACGCTTACATGGCTAAGCCGCCTAATTACAAGCACCACTACGACGACGCGAAGGCGCAGTCTGTAGCTCCGCTGCGGCCCAAGCTGCCTTACCCTAGGATAGATGGCCTCCACCTATACACTTACCAGGCTTTCATCGACGCCGTTAACTTCTACCTCGAGATGTCTGATATCTCCGACCTCTTCCACATTAGGTAAAAATATCAATTTATATCTATTCTTTTTTCTTTTTTTTTATATCTATTCTTGATTTAATGTGATAGGTCATTCTCAATATTTCTTTCTCCACCTTTTTTATTCTATTATTTGATTTATGGATGCACAGAACCGCGCGCTTTCTTTCCATGTATTTTATTTTTTTTCTTTTTTCTGGTCAATAATTACGTTCGGCATTGAGATTCGGTGCAAATTATACGGAGGCGCGTTGTTGTTGTTGTTGCCCTTTGGATTTCTCAGAGACCTTACTTGTCATGCGAAACAAATGGAAATCACGCCCCAACTGTTTGGTAGCTTTGTAATTTCCAGTGAACCATTCAATGCCATGTGATGTAACGGTGCGCGTGTGCGTGTTGGATTATGTTTTTTTGAAAATATTTTCTCTCCGTCAACACATAATTTAGTATTTTCTGAAGTAAAATATATTTTTAAATTTTTTTATTTTAAAAGTGTTTTTAAATAATTTAAATTCTATTTTTTTTTAAATTAATATTTTTTTGTTTTTATATCATTTTTTTATTTTAAATTAATATTTTTTTTGTTTTTATATCATTTTAATACACTGATTTAAAAATAATTTTTAAAACATAAAAAATATTATTTTTATATATTTTTAACTTCTAAATAAAAAATATTTTTAAAAAAAAAAACTACACACTTCAATATAAGTTTCAAATGATTGGTGCTGGTGTTGATAATAGCATGACATTAACCAGTGTCGCTATAATAACAGGAGTCCATATTTTTGTTTGTACAGGGGGTTGCCGCTTCATCGGAATGTGGACAGAAGTAGAAAGTGGCGTCGAATGGAGGACGATGAGAGTGTGTTTGTTTACAGAGAGGGGACTCTTGATCAAACAACATACCATCTTTATCATTCCGACAAGTCGGGCAATGAAGATGATTCTGTGCTTATTCGTGTCAAGGGCAAGAATGCTCCTATCACTTGCATTGTCCCCCTGGAGGACATCATAGTAGCATGATTCCAATATCTGGTTGTTTCCGGTAGCATTCTTTGAAGGGACTCAACCCCTAAACTTACTTGTCTTGTTCTTCCGTTCACAACAAACTAGATGATCTTCTTTCCATTGTAAAAGTTCTATCCTTTCCTTGGCTCAGGACAGATCGGTACATTACATAAGTCCATGAAAGAAGATGATGATGATGATGATCTCTCACATCCTTCCTTCCACCGATCTGTTTTTTACGTTCCCGTCCCTTATCATTTGAATGTAACATGAGCCTTTCCAACTTCGTCTTCGGTCCAGCCTCCATCTGTGGGTTTGTTGTCCGTTCAGGGCCTCTGCCATCGAAGTCACACTTGAATGCTGGATCCTTCTTGTGGGGGCTCGTATCGATGCCTGCGATGCCCTAACTTATAAAATCTAAATTCTGGCCCATTAACGATGTCCTTGGTCCCTCCCTCGAGAAAGAAAGGAGGACCAGTCCTATAGCGAGGCACCGGTCGGTCGTACAGGCACCTGCGTGCTCGTACTTCGTGGTTCTCCAGCTTTCGCTCGTAAAGCCAATAATCTCCAAATAGTTCATTGTTAGTCAATCAATCACGCTTCCCTTGCCCTTTGGTTTCTTCTCAAAAGACGAGCCAAATTAAGTAAATAACACCACACCAGATGTGTGCCAGAAAATAGCAGGAGGTCCAGACCCTACTTAAAGAACTCTTTGGATTCTTCTTTCTTATTCCAAGGCTTTCCGCTCTCCGTGTCTGCCACATCCACAAAGCATTTAACCCTTCAGCCTCCAGATGCAATCCCTAAAACCCTTTTTTGAGTTCCCATTCCCAGCTCGAAAAACACTCGAAGAAAAGAAGGCATCACTTTTGTCCCTACTAGAATAAAGCTACGCTTCGTCTCGGGCTTGCTGCATGCCCCCACATCTTGAACTAAGGTATCCATGGCTGGCTTTTATGTCAAAGTTTCAGAGTATCTACTATGGGGTGCCCATCTAACCACCAAAACTAGCTTCATTTCAGCAAGGAGATCCAGGTCATTTCCCAGAGTAAAGGTGGCCTTTCTCTACACTCCAGGCCATAATTTCACAGGGTAGAAGAAAAGGGAGGGAACAAAATAAAAGAAAAGAACCTCTTCAAGTACAAACCAGACTTCTCATAGTCGTTTTCATATCAATGGGTGCTCTAAAAGCCATTATTCTCTACTTGATTATACACCAAACATGGAAGATCACAGCTGATGATGAGGAATGGAAGTCTGCTACTGCAACATACGTCAAGGAGACAAGTGGATCCATCATTGTAGGTAATTTTCTGGCAACTGTTCCGACTAAATCTGAAACTTTCTGTTTCAACTCATAATGGTGCTTCATATTTCACGAAAGATTCAGTTTTGATTGCATAGAGTAAACTACCATTGTTTAATGTTGCAGAAGGTGCTTGTGGGTATGGGGACCTTCACAGGGCCACCTATGGAAAATACAGTGCTGGAGTAAGTAGCATGCTGTTCAACAGAGGGAGTACCTGTGGGTCTTGCTTCGAGGTCAGATGTGTAGACCACATCTTATGGTGCCTGCAGGGTAGCCCCTCCGTCATTCTCACCGCAACAGATTTCTGCCCTCCAAATTACGGGCTTTCATCGGATTATGGTGGCTGGTGTAATTTCCCCAAAGAACACTTTGAGATGTCAGAAGCGGCATTTGCTGAAATCGCAGAGAAAAAGGCTGATGTTGTGCCAGTTCAACACAGAAGGTATCACCAATCAATTTACAATTACTTGGTCACATGAGTCAAATGAGTATAGGCCTCTCTATTTCCTAACTCCTTGGCTGGGCGAACATTTTTTATGCCAATTTTTGTAGGGTGAAGTGTGATAGAAGGGGTGGGCTGAGATTCACAATGAGTGGAAATTTTCACTTTTATCAAGTACTCATCAGCAATGTGGGATTGGATGGTGAGGTGATTGCTGTGAAAGTGAAGGGATCAAGAACAGCATGGATACCTATGGCAAGAAACTGGAGACAAAACTGGCAATCCAATATCAACCTTATTGGACAGCCTCTATCTTTCGAGGTGACTACCAGCAGCAGAAAAACACTCGCTTCTTACAATGTTGCACCAGCAAACTGGCAATATGGCCAGATATTTGAAGGCAAGCAATTCTAGTATGATAGGCTTTTAGAGTCGGGCATAGGTTCACGCTTCCATTTGCTTTCTCCAGCTATGCGAAGAAGTAGGTAATTGGTCAAACGGAGGTAAGAAAGTCGTAGAGGAAAGTTGGGAAAAATAGGAATACAAGGTCCCAGTTATGTCTCTTTACCTGCTTTTATTGAGTAGAAAGTTAACAACTCGTGAAATGTGTAATTACTGAAACGTCAAGGTTTATGTTCACTTCAAAAGTCAAAAGAAAAGGTTAAGATATGTATCTCTTACCATGACTTCTCTACCAGGCAATCCTTGCTTTATGAACTAAGCTGTGCTTTGAGATTTGCTACTTCGATTCTACAAGAATGATTATCAATTAAGCACAGCTGTGAAATTCAACAATGATGGAAGCTTTCTCATCAAATGCGACTGCTAGTATGTAATGCAGGGGAAATCAGAGAGAAACATTTGTTTCATGTCCAAAACTACAGAGGCTCAATATTGAAAACTGAGCTAAGTAAAGCATAACCAAAGAAGGTGAATTTATGCTGTTGCAAATATGACATGGCTAGAACAAGTTGCTGAACCCTTCTGAGCAAGAATACATTTCCACTTTCAATCCATTTAGGAGAAAATATAAATATATGTGTGTCCGCTGAATCCTGCTATTCAAATTTCCAGTTGGTTAAATGGTTTGTTTTTGCAAGGGTAATCATAGAAAAGGAGACTAAATAGATTACAAAAGAATGAAAATCAACCGCATCAACTTTCATACTAAAGTAAAAGGAGAGTAAAGGAGATGGCTTGTTCTAGTTTCTAACTTTCAACTGCATATATAATACAACTACAACAGGACCGACAAAATTAAACAAAGCAGCAAAAGAAAAACACGAGCTATTGGTGATGAGAGAAGGGATGGATCATTAAGATGTATTGAATGAAGAAACAATATACCATCTTGGCAGTTGGCATGGCAAAACTGGTGTTAGCAAAATGAAGTTGAACACGCATTCCATTCTAGGGTACTGTACTGCTGATGAATCAGCCAGTTCAAAACCTGAATGTTTGATCTATCTCAACTTGCCATCCCTTGCTCCTCCGCCTCAAAATCGAGGGATTCACCGTAAAACTTGTAAGCATCCTGCCTTACAACAACCGAAAGCTCGAATTCGCCAATCGACTCTAAACCATTCACAAGTAATTTAAACGTGGACCTATCAGGTTCACACCCTACTACAACAGACTTCATCCATTCATAGCACTCCATAACAAGACCACCCAGCTTAAAACTGATCAGAGTTGCCAACAGTTGATTAAATTCATCTGTTTTAAACTGTAAATCACCTGCAATTTCACTCTCCAGGTACCTAAAAAGAAGTTGAACCTCTTCAATGAATCCATTGCTAGCCATTACTTGAATCATCTCATTATACAACAACACCTTTGGCTTGTACCAGTGCTCCACTCGAATATCCTCAAAAACCTGAAATAAAAAAAAATCAGGATATAATTATATTGTAAAAAAAACTAATAATTATGATATTTGACCTTGAGAGCCAAGAGGCAGTGGCTCTGGCGGAGGAGTTCGCGAAGAACTGCAGTCATGTCGAACTTCAACAATCGGCTGAATTTAGAACGGAAGACTTGGTCAAGCAGCGACTTGTCGTTGTTGTAAGCTAGTTTTAAGGCTTGTATTGTTTGGATGGCTTCGATGCTGAGGTTTCTACCTTTCTGGAGCGGCTTTCGATTTAGGCTTCTAACACTAGCAGCAGCTCTTATTGTCCTATTCATTGGACGAAGAATTGTTTGTGTTGTTGTTGGTGTCCATGGGTTTTTAAGGAAATGGAAACTACTAATAGTTTGTGTAGTCGTCGCCATCGCCGTCTTTCGAGTTAATCCTCTCCCTCTTCCTACACGAAGATGAAGATGACGATGATGAGAGTAATTAATGGCTAATCCATTGGAAATGTGTACGAACGCTGCTATTATTTCTAGATTGAACGTCGTCGTTTCGGTTTCACTTCTCTCTTTTCTCTTCTTTTTTTGAGATTGGTGAGGGGGTGCCTAAAATATTTTAAAATTAATCTTTAAAGATAAGAAATATTGAATTTTATTCGAAAAATCCAAAACAACATGGAATAAAATAAATGTTTAAGACAACTCAAGTTATACTAGTTACATCTGATATAGGGTTTTATATTTTTTAATAAAACAATACAAATGTTTTTTCAATGTATTTTTTAATATAAAAAATCATAAGCATAAATAGAAAATTTTATGCATATGTTTAATTAAATAAATCAATAAATATCCATGTCAATTGATGAAAAAATTAACAACTAAATAAATCAAGAAATGGATTTAAAATCAAGATATTTGATCTCACAATATAGGTAATTTACCTTGTTATAGTTAATGATATTATTTATTAAAATTAATTTTTATTTAATTATATAATAATAAAAATAAACACATGTTAAATTGATTAAATAAAATAAAAAAAATATTATGCAAGATTACATATACTAAAAATATTATCCAAAAATAAATATTTTTTTTAAATAAATTTTATTTATACAAAACATAAAAAAATGAATTTGACAATTAAATTTTATTTATATAAAACATAAAAAAATGAATTTGACAATCTATTCAAGAAAATAATATATAATAATTAAAAAATAATCACTATTAGAAATATGATAGATGAACAATCTATAAATAAAAAAAATAGAGTGAGGATAATAATTAATTTAAATAAAAAATAAAAAAAATTATTTTTAAAAAATACATATTAAAAAATATGTATAAAAAATAAAAATAAAAAAGATCATAAATTATTTTTAAAAAATACATATTAAAAAGATCACATTTTGATGGGCTGGCAAATCAGGCCAGCATGTTTGACCAATTTAGAAATATAAACGCGCTGATCCATGGGGACAAGTCCATTTGAGAGGGCTTTTGTTTATTTTTACTTGCCTGCTCCGTAAAGAATTTAAAAGAAAAATAATATCAGGTGACGCATTGCTAGCCTTTTCCCTATATTTTGTTTATGGTAGTGGTTGAAAAATCAAAATTGGTGGTTTTTTTGACCTAGAACATTTCAATTCATTCTTACACCAGATACTTGTAAAAATACCATAAATATCTTGATAAATTTTTATATAAATCTAAACAATTTATAAATCCACCAAAATCAACCTAGAACAAAAAAAAAAAAAATCAAGTTCATAAATGTTATATCATGTGAGGTGTGAGGCGGAGAACACATAGAATAAAAAAATTATCATTAAATAAAATCCATTAATATAAAAATTAGCATTTTGTAGTTGAAATCAATATTAATTAAGATTTTTTTTTTCCATTGAAATTCAACTACTTTCTCGTTCTCTCTTCAACTATGAAGTAAAAAGAGAAGTTAGTGGACAAAAACTAGATTTTCACAAATAAAATGGCTGGAAATTTATAATATGAAAAGTATGAAGGTGCTTTTTTTATCCAATTTTAAAACCATCACTTATATTTCCATGTCATTTTCACTTTGATTTTTTTTAATCTTGTTTTTTCTCAATAAATTTAAAGTAACTGTCTTATAATTTAGCCACAAGATAGTGAACCCATAAGAAAAAAAAAAGAGAATTAAAATGAAAATAAAATAAAATAAGTCCATTATAAAATGTGAGAGGCTATGATACCATTCTCTACGGCGATTCACAAAGACTTTTAGAGTTTTTTATAATTATAAATTTATTTCATAATATGAATTTTTGGTATATTAAATATTATACTATAATATAATTTAAAAGATATAGAAAAAATATTATATATTTATTATAGATATAACTCATTACATCCTAAATCATATTATAAATATAGAATATTTGCATCGTAAATAATATTATAATATTAGAAAGCATTACTTTTACTATTTTTTAAATATAAAATGTCGTTAGCTTTGTAGCCAAACTTAGTATGAATTTAATATTGCGGTAGTTGTTGTGATTATGATTTGAAAAAAATTATTTTATAAGAAGTATTTTTAATTAAAATTGATTTAATAAAATAGGTGTTTAGTTAAAACTGTTATTGCAATTGAGGTTATGAAATAATTTAAAAAAATATATATTAATATTAGTAGTTTTTAATTTAAATATTGTAGATTTAACTATCTATAATTCCATCACGTATAAAATATATCCGATAAGTATTACAATTTTTCTAGTTTTTTAAGTACACTACAACATCAGGTAAAATATAATAAAGAACAAAATATATAATTTTTATTTTTTATTTTATTAGGCCGGACTTGATTCAATATATTTTAAACTTTAAATTAAAATCAATTAAATCAAAATAGTATATCTACTCTACACCATGGGAACAGTTTATGCTACACTTTGTGAGTAGTATATGCCACATTGAGTTAATCTATTCATGTTAATTAATTAGTATGGATAGTGTGCAAAAAGTAATATTTTGTTATTTTTTTTATGTCTTAAACATAAATTTACATGGGATCTATACACAATAAAATATATTTTCTTTTTAATTAAATAGGTTGTATTTATGTTTTTAACAAAACACAAACATAATCTTGTTAACAAACAGATTTTTAATAGCATCTGAGGTTAATTTAATGCCTTAGGTCCAAATAGTAACATGATTAACGTTAAGAGAAAAAAAATTAACCCAGCCCAACTTTAAATAAAAAATTATCACTATTTAATTTTTATGTAATATATAAAAATTTCATCAATTTAATTTTTCTTTCTTATATTAAAAAAAAGAAAAAGAAATAGCTGAGGGTAAAAAAACTTTATCTCCTAACAATTTTTAAGTAACAGTTGGTTTAGCGTATGTTAATAACATATATTAATAATAATAAAAATTTCGTCATTCTAAAAACAAATTAATAATAACAAGAAAAAAGAAATAGCTGAGGGTAAAAGTGGTACACAAGCGGCCGGAAGGAGATGTCCTCTCTGTTATCTCGTGCTCCGTGGATCATCAATCCATCATCATCACCAGGACTAAAAATTAATGGCGAATAGTATAGTAGCAGGGACGCCATGGATGAGAATCAAGGTTATCCCTGAAATTTCGTTTCCCATTCTACGTTCTCCATCCTCCCTTTACAACCACAAAGTCTCTTTCCTTTTTCCAACTAGAAGACGATTTTCAGCCTCTGCCATTGCTAGTACTGAAAAAGAACAGGTTAGAGTCCGTTTTGCTCCCTCGCCTACTGGAAACCTCCATGTTGGTGGTGCTAGAACTGCTCTCTTTAATTATCTCTTCGCCAGGTGATCTGGCTTCCTTCTCTTTTCTTCTTTTTTATTTAATTTAATTATTTGTTTGTTTGCAAGTTGAGTGGATGAAATGGGTAATCACTTTTTTTGTGGTTTTAGGTCTAAAGGTGGGAAATTTGTGTTGAGGATTGAGGATACTGACTTGGAGAGGTCGACTAAAGAATCCGAGGAGGCAGTGCTTCGGGATCTTTCTTGGCTTGGTCTTGACTGGGATGAAGGTAATTGATGCAATTATACCTGTAACTGTGGTTTTTTTTTTCTTTTCAAATGAATCTCATTTGCCTGAGCATCCATGTTTTAATTGGTAGTCTTACGTTGCCACTTGTGTTTTTCGTTTTCATTCTATGGCACCTGTCAATTGTGGAACATCTGATTAAATTCTCAGAACTCTTATCCTGTAATTGTTTCATAGGTCCTGGGGTTGGTGGAGACTATGGTCCATATCGGCAATCAGAGAGGAATTCTCTCTATAAGCAGCATGCTGAGAAACTTGTAGAATCTGGTCATGTTTATCGCTGCTTCTGCTCTAATGAGGTAGCTATTGTTCCTTATCTGTGAGAATCTGTATTTTGTAGTGCTTTTCTCCTTGTCAATGCTTATCTAGTCTCGAGTATTACTATTTGCTCATAAAATGGAGCATGGAATGGAAAGATCTCGTGTAATAAACATTAATAAAAAAAGTTAGAGATCTGATGCAATTAAGTCTCATCTGATCTGTGCTTGGGATGTTGATTAAAAAATAGTAAGGACAAAGACAAAAAGCTATTATCTTTTGATGACTTGACACAATATGTGCTCAACTAATAGATTTGTGCTATAATTTCTCGCCAGGAACTTGAGCAAATGAAGGAGATTGCAAAATTGAAGCAACTGCCTCCAGTATACACAGGAAAGTGGGCTAATGCAATGGATGATGAAGTACAGGAAGAGCTGGGAAAGGGAACTCCATACACGTATAGATTTCGTGTGCCTAAGGAAGGGCGTTTGACAATTAATGATCTTATTCGGGGCGAGGTAAGTTTAATCAATCTTCTATTTTGATGGTCTTACCATTGCCATCTAATTTATATATGTACTTGAGAATGATTATAATTGCATTTCTGTGTCTACATGACTTAGCAATAAAGAGAAAGGGGTGGAAGGTTGAGGTTACCACTCGAGTTTTTATTGCTGGATTGACAAATTGGGCATGCCTAGCATCATTCAAGATTGCCAATTCCTTTTTCTAATGAAATTCTTAGTTTTATGGGCTTCTAACTTTATTTGATAGTGTCTTGAAGGTTAGCTGGAATTATGACACACTTGGAGATTTTGTGATCATGAGGAGCAATGGACAACCTGTGTACAACTTTTGTGTCACTGTTGATGATGCTACCATGGCTATCTCACATGTTATTAGGTGATTATTTTAGCTGATCAAATTTTTTCAAGATAATATATGTGCTTATCTTTTAGCTGATCAAATTTTTTCAAGATAATGTATGTGCTTATATTTGTCTAGCTTACTGCATTCCAGGCCCCAATGTTTTGTTTGTGGGTTCTGTCTGGCATATGTGTCATCTTACTGTTAACTCTTGAATTTCAGAGCTGAAGAGCATTTACCAAATACTCTCAGGCAAGCACTAATATACAAGGTATCATTGTGTACCATCTTGAATGTACAGAAATGATTCTTTCATTGCCTTAAGGCAACCCATCTTCTTTGAATAATATGGGGCCTATCTATTGAATTTTGTCACAGGCCCTTGGATTCTCCATGCCTCACTTTGCACATGTTTCTTTAATTCTTGCACCTGACAGAAGTAAATTATCAAAACGACATGGTGCAACTTCAGTGGGTCAGGTATCTATTGGTCACCGCTGCTTATCTTAGTTTCTTTGGTTATTGCTTAGGTATAATATGTGGACATTAATTCTTTGTTCTCATGGGCTAATTGTTTTTTTTTTTTTGTTTTTTTGTTTATCTGAAACAATTACCTTTAACAGTACAGGGAGATGGGTTATCTGCCCGAGGCAATGGTGAATTACTTGGCACTTTTAGGTTGGGGTGATGGAACAGAGAATGAATTTTTTACCCTCGAGCAACTTGGTTAGTGATTTCATCACGTAACATTCTATGAAACTGTCTTGCATGTAGCTTTTTTTGGTGTATTTCATAACTGTATCTCACTTGAACTTCAATTAACAGTTGAAAAATTCTCAATTGGTCGTGTTAACAAAAGCGGCGCTGTTTTTGATTCTACCAAGTTGAGGTAAGCATGTCACTTTGCTATAAATCTAGAGCATGTACTTCTCTTGTTAAGCAAGCAAGCTAACCCTGTATATCTCTATAAACTAAAGGTGGATGAATGGCCAGCATTTAAGAGCACTTCCATCAGATAAACTGAGCAAACTTGTTGGTGAACGCTGGAAAAGCAGTGGCATTCTCGTAGAGTCAGAAGGACCATTTATAGAAGTAAGACATGCGTTCTACTGCTATATTTAAATTCCCATAAACATTTATAGCCTGTGTTAGCTGAATGCTGGTCTTATGAAGATTGGTTTAAGTGGCACTTCTCTTCAACATCAGTGTTGCCTGGAAGTATCTGTCATTGATCAATTGTTGCAGTCACAGCATGGAATTGAAGCAAAATGTAGTAGCTGAATTGCCATACAAAAGAAAGATGCTGTCACAAATTATATGTTATAAAATGAGATATGAACGGGATACTATTTTTCTAAATCTGTAGAGCTGTTTCGCCATGCTCAAGTTTCCCACTCCTCACGTGAACTTCCCCTTATGATGGCTCTGCATCTTAGTCATGTATAGGAAAGTGTATGATAGTAATGGCATAATTTTGTGCATGCAGGAGGCAGTTCTGCTTCTCAAGGATGGGATTGAGTTGGTAACTGATTCAGACAAAGTGCTCTCAAATTTGCTATCATATCCCTTACATGCTACTTTATCAAGGTGATTCTCAAACTTCCCACTCTTAAACATTACATATTTATCATTCTATTTGCCAATAGTCATAACTTTCTGGTCTGATTTTTTTTTTTTGTAATTGGGAGCGTGGTTTGCTGGTCTTATCAACTTACTTTTATGCATCATCATTCTCCTGAAGGACAGAGACTGGAGATATTGTCAACTGTAGGTCTTAAAAAGGTTTTTGAGATTGTATTATATTTGGGCAACTGGGCTAAGTAACTCTTTGTTGCTTTGTAAGTTCATGAAAGGTGTTCATGAACACATGTGGTGACCAGTAGATAGTAGATTGATGGTATCTCATAAGTAAATCGGGACAGGATTATTTGTATGTTTCAACAAAAGCTTTAAAAAAAATTGGTTGCACTCATGTCTGGGCTGGGCTCACTCGAGGTAAGGATGAATGTCCTAAAATCCGTCATGGTAGCTTTTGAGTTGCATCCAACTGTGGAACACGAGTTGGTTGATAAGTTTTTTGGTTGATGATTTCATCAAGTTCATCATAGGATTATTAGCTGGCATTGATTTCTTATATGGTATCAGTGTAGTAATAGTTAACTAACTTTATTTGCGTCTGCAGTCCTGAAGGTAAAGTTATGATACAAAATAAGCTTTGTGAGGTCTCATCCGGGTTGTTAGCTGCATATGACAGTGGTGAACTCCTTAATGCCCTGGAAGAAGGCCATTCTGGTTGGCAGAAGTGGGTAAAGAATTTTGGAAAAACAATGAAGCTGAAGGTGTGCTCTAATTGAATATTCAGCTTTCATCTTACATGTTATTTTATGTAATTATGTCTCTGAACTCTATAAACACTATTTGTTTCCCATTTTTATGTTAGGGGAAATCTCTCTTCATGCCTCTCCGAGTGTTGCTAACCGGGAAACTCCACGGTCCTGACATGGGCTCTAGCATAATCCTGCTCCATCAAGCTGGAACTGGGGATATGGTTTCTTCCCAAGCTGAGTTTGTGACATTGAAGGAGAGGTTTGGAGTACTGAGGGAAATAGACTGGGAAGCACTGAACAAGGATCAACCTCCTTTGGAACCCGCAGCTATAGCAGCAAATTGAGAGTCCCCAGTTTTGATCTGCGAATTTTGAACTCGATTCTGTAGATGCTTAAAAACCTTACCATGTTTGAGTGAACGATGTGTATTGAAAATGAATGCGACGAGAAGAAATCTGTGTGTTTAATTGAGAAACGAACATCCATTTTTTAATGACCCAATAATAATTCTCACGAGCGTTCATTCATTAGAGATCCCAATTCTTTTGCCATGATTACGAAAAGATGTGCTTGCCAATGCACAATCTGCCAGCAATAGCAGCAGCAGCACCTCACATGACTGCTAGGAGTAATAGTAATCCTCAGTCAAGGTGTCCGAATCCAGGTCTGTGGAATCCCAGTTGGCGGTAAAGGAATGCTGATGAACAGAGGAGGATGGACATGCAGCTATCGAGCTCAATGTCACGAAGAAGCAAGCAGGGTGCATGAACGTGTAATTTTGATACGAAGGTAGGAGGGCAGTAGTTCCGGGTGTCCCTGCACCAGTCACGACAAGCACCGTGCACTTGTCGTCAGCATGCATTGGAGAGAGGCTACTTGATGACAAAATGATGGAAGGAAAAATGATTGGCTACTTAGGTGGTTCCCTTATTCTAATAAACAACGGCGACGAATGCTTACTATATTTGACTTCTTGGGCACGTGATAAACCCACAACAACAAATATTTAACTTAGTGGGCACGTGTTTTTATGAATACGATTTGAATTTATAGACAGATATTAATTTCCCCATTTCTCGGCTCGGCCCTTCATCAAATACGTAATTAATCAATCAGCTCTTCCTCCTCCTCCTCCATCCCACCGTCTTCTCTTCTTCACCCAAATTCATTTCAATTCAAGTATCTCTCTCCGTACAACGAAAACATGTAGTGGTATTAGTATTACTTGTAGATCTGCATCTCTCAAATGAATGAATGAATGAATAAAGCACATCGTCATCACTTTTTATCACGAAAATGTCAGCTTCACAAAACCTTGGCGGTCCTTCTAGCTGCGGTCGTGCCTTGGGCCCTTGTCTCGACAAGATCGTTAAAAACGCCGCCTGGAGGAAGCACTCCCACCTCGTTTCCTCCTGCAAATCTGTCCTCGACAAGCTCGAATCACTCCCCGCCGATTCTATTTCTATTTCTATTTCTAGTTCACACTCTCCTCTCTTCTCCCTCTCCCCTTCCGATGCCAATCTCGTTCTCAATCCCATTCTTCTAGCCTTAGACTCTGCTTACCCCAAGGTTGTCGATCCCGCACTCGAATGCCTTTTCAAATTGTTTTCCTCTGGCCTTATTCGAGGTGAGATCGATCATACCCCCTCGAGTCTCATCATTTTGAAGATAATTGAGAGTGTTTGTAAGGTTTGTGGTATTGGCGACGAAGCTATTGAGCTTTCCGTGCTCAGAGTTTTGCTATCTGCTGTTCGATCTCCTTGTGTTTTGATTCGCGGTGAATGCTTAGTGCATATTGTTAGAACTTGTTATAATGTTTATCTTGGTGGGTTGAATGGGACCAATCAGATCTGTGCCAAATCGGTGCTTGCACAGATTATGCTTGTTGTTTTTACTAGAATGGAGGAGGATTCTATGGATGTTAATGTTAAAACGGTTTCTGTTGGTGAATTGTTACAGTTTACTGATAAGAATTTGAATGAAGGGAGCTCCATTCATTTCTGTCAGAATTTTGTTAATGAGGTCATGGCAGCGAGTGAAGGGGTTCCTGATGATAAGTTGTTGCTGCACAATCAACCGTCTGATGAACTCCGAAATGTTAGTGCCGGTGCTGGCGATGATGATGATAAAATAGCTGAAGGGGATCATAAAAGTGAATTAAGCAATAAGGAAGCAAACGGTGAAGCTGATACGGATGTTGGTGTGGGTGTTAGTGGCGGTGGTGAAGTTGGGGGGAGTAAGATTAGGGAAGATGGGTTTCTTCTCTTTAGGAATATTTGCAAATTGTCAATGAAGTTCTCATCTCAGGAGACCCCAGATGATCAAATTCTTTTGAGAGGGAAGATTTTATCTCTTGAGTTGCTTAAGGTGATCATGGACAATGGAGGTCCAATTTGGCGAAATAATGAGAGGCAAGTCACGAATACATCCTTTCACAGTTTTTTGAACTCCAGCCATTACGCATATATCATTATTATCTACTGATAGCTATGAAATTTTATTTCAATGTAGAAAGCCCTTGCTGTTTTCTAATTTGGTTCATTTTATTTTAATTTTTAATTCCTGTCTTAGAAATTCTATATGGTTTTTCTATGAATATTTTGAATATATTGCTCCGATTTTTCCATCATGAGCTGTAAATGAACAATTTTTTGGCACCATTTTCATGTTCTTTTTTCTTTGGTGAAGAGTATAACATTTTCTTCTATTTGGTACAGGTTTCTCAACACTATTAAGCAATTCCTATGCTTGTCACTAATAAAGAACACTGCATTGTCAGTTATGGCTATTTTCCAGCTTCAGTGCTCCATTTTTATGATGTTGTTAGTTAAATTCAGATCTGGATTGAAGGAAGAAATTGGGATATTCTTTCCCATGCTTGTCCTTCGAGTACTTGAGAATGTTAACCAGCCTAGCTTCTTACAGAAAATGACTGTCCTTAATTTTTTGGACAAAATCAGCCAGGATTCCCAGATCATTGTTGATATTTTCATAAACTATGACTGCGATGTGGATGCTCCAAACATATACGAAAGGTATTACATATGCATCTGTTATTGCTCATGTCTTAGTTGCAATTTATATGCATCTGTTCAAGTAGTTATGAAACTTGAATGGTTAAATGCTTGTAAATTTTCAGAAGACAAGGATAGTGTAGTTCGTATATGAATCAGTCATCTTATGCTATGATGGGCCTAGAATTTTATGAGATCTCTTTAATTGATATTGGAAAGCCTCATTTGGTGGATTCTCTCTCTTGTTTGTAGACATACCATGTCTTTTATTTTGGCTATTATCTCTATTGTCATTTCTTTATGTCATGTATTTTTAAAAAATGTATTAAAACACTTATAATTCCATCAGATATTTGCAGGATTGTCAATGGCCTTCTGAAAACTGCTCTAGGACCCCCTCCTGGTTCAACAACAACTTTGTCTTCGGTTCAGGATATTACTTTTAGGCATGAATCTGTGAAATGCTTGGTTAGCATCATCAGGTCAATGGGTGCTTGGATGGATCAAAAGTTGAGAACTGGAGATTCTTATCTGCCTAAGAGCTCCGAAAGTTCTACTTCAACCGAGAATCATTCAACTCTGAGTGGAGAAGATGCAGGTGCCTCTGATTATGATTTGCATTCGGAAGTGAACTCTGAAATGTCTGATGCTGCTACCCTTGAACAACGACGGGCATATAAAATTGAACTCCAGGTTGGCATTTTTTTATCCTTTTGCAAGGGATGGCCATATGTGGTATAGGGTACTGATATTTAACTGGTTGCTCTTTTATTAGTATCATGTAGGTACACTTCTTGTGCCACCATTTTTTTTCCTGCCTTGTCACACTTTATAAGAAATGGGCCTGCTTAACCCTTTGGTGACAAATTTACTGTGTTAAATGCAGAAAGGTATCTCCATATTCAATAGGAAACCTTCCAAGGGCATCGAGTTTTTGATAAATGCCAAAAAAGTTAGCGGTTCTCCTGAAGAAGTTGCCACCTTCCTGAAAAACACTACTGGCTTGAATGAAACTGTGATTGGTGACTATTTGGGCGAGAGGGATGAGTTTTGTTTGAGAGTTATGCATGCTTATGTAGACTCATTCAACTTTAAAGAAATGGATTTTGGTGAAGCAATAAGGTTTTTCTTACGGGGCTTCAGGTTACCCGGAGAAGCACAGAAGATTGATCGTATCATGGAAAAGTTTGCTGAGCGCTATTGTAAATGCAATCCAAATTCATTTACCAGTGCAGATACTGCTTATGTTCTTGCATACTCTGTGATAATGCTCAACACTGATGCACATAACAGCATGGTGAAGGATAAGGTTTGCTTGCAAAACCCCTTCCCTTTTATCTCTGGCCACTGTCATGACTAGTGAATTTTGCTTTTCAACCTCCTTTTTATGATAAGTTGATAAAAGTTGTGCTTTGGCTTCGGTCCTGATAGTTATTCCACACTCCAGGATGATTTTCAGACAATTTTCAATGTTTTGGTTTGTTGAATCAGTAGATTAGACTTGATGATAAATAATTCAGGATGTGCGTAGTAACATTACCTTTTTTGTAATGGTAAATCATCTTCACAATTAATTTCCTTGTCATTTTTTTGTGACTTTGAAAATTATTAAAAATGCAAATGGAGAAATATAAAGCACATAATAACAAATTCTAGTAAAATATAAAGCACATATTAAAAAAATTGTCTACAGCAGGGCATCGTATTGTCAATTATGCATAAATGAATGTAGATTTGATTTTGACGATCTTCTTACTTCTGTTCTGAAACTGGGGCCATCCAGATGAGCAAGGCTGATTTTATTCGGAACAACAGAGGAATTGATGATGGCAAGGATTTGCCTGAAGAGTATCTGGGCACTCTCTATGATCAAATTGTGAAAAATGAAATTAAGATGAGTGCTGATTCTTCAGTTCCTCAAAGCAAGCAGGCAAACAGCTTAAATAAGCTATTAGGTTTAGATGGTATACTCAATCTAGTTACTGGGAAGCAGACTGAGGAAAAGGCATTGGGTGCAAATGGGCTTCTTATCAGGCGTATCCAAGAGCAATTTAAAGCAAAGTCAGGAAAATCAGGGTAAGCTATGTTACAACATATTTCATGGTTGATTGTTTCTAGAGTAAATTATTATTTATTCCTGGGGTTTTTGAATGTGATTATAGGCTAATACTTAATGTTTGAAAACCTATACCTTAGTCCCTGACTCTTGGTGACCTTTGTTTCATTAAAACATCTCTTGTTATTTTCTAGTCCCCGATGGGCCACTTGGCTATCTAAAATCTTAGAGAAATAAACAAGATAGTGGGGTTTTCAAGAAAGCCAAAGTGTTTTTACTCTCAATGGGAGACAAACGGTTTGAAGGGTAAGGGCGGCTAGTAGTAATGCAGGGGATCCATTAACCAGGCTCGAATTATGGGGAGGGGTTTGTGGTACTGGAGGATGGTTTAATCTTTGCCTGATTTGGATAATTTTGACCTTCTCCTTCTCTCGTGCTTGCGCTTGCTAAATCTTGGGTAAA